ATTTTCATGGCAAATGAGGATATAGTCTTTCAAGAATAAGGTCCAAACCTCAAGTAGAAAAATCAAACCAATATTTTCAAATTCAGCACTCAAAAGTAATGTGAAAAGGCTAGATAAATTGGACAAAATTTTCAATTTTGTGATCCTATCTTACTAAACCCAATTGGCACAATTTTTGGCATAAAAAGGGACCAAATTTATTAATAATTAAGAAAGGAATCAGCTGAAGTGAAGTAGATCAATAGAAAAGGAAACTTGGTTTACTAAAACTCATTGAAAATGACTTTGAGTCATTGATTTAATCCCTAACTAAGAGGCTTAACCAAATGCCAATCAAACCAAATCAAAACTCAGTCAACAAATAGTATTATGTAAGGAGAAAATTTGAAGTAAATAACCATGAATTAAAGGTAAACTAAGCAAGTATGCTTAGGAAAACTAATATCATAAGAGTCAAATTTTTCACATTGAGCATTATTTTTAGGAACCACTTTACACAAGGACAAAAGTTGAATTTGGAAGAGACTTCAAAAGTAAAGTTACTCCAATTAGACCCTTCTAGCTGATCATAAGCTTCCTGTCCTATAAAAGCCAAGAATTTTTTTTGAAAAATACTCACCAAAGACAAGGCCATTTTCACTTGTAAAATGGTGCAAAATTTGAACACTTAGCCAAAAATTCTAAATCTAGCCAAACCAAACTCTTTTAAACACTTGAACATATCCAACACATACCAAAAATAAATCTTAGCACTCAGCCATGTCATCCTCTATGCCAACAAAGTAGGAAAAATTCCAAAAACACTAATAACCCCATCATCAAAACTAAGCAAAAGAACTAATTTGAGGATATTTTTGGACACAAACAAAGATGCCTTAGAAGGGATAGAAATATGTTCAAATTAGACCAAGAAAGAGAGAAGGGAGAGGAGACTAAAACATACTTACAACTCCACCAAAAAGACAAGACAAAATCAAGTAAAGGAGCTGAGTATAGTTTATAAATTGGAAAAATATTTCTGCTAATTAACTTTTGAGTCAAAGAGAACCTTTAACTCTTTATATTAAATGAAAATTTCATGGGTCTAGTTTATATATGAAAATAAAATTGATTGGAATAAGAAAATAAAAAAATAATAAAAAAAGTGAAAATAGGAAATTCTGCAAAAAAATCTTAACAAATTATAAATAGGTATTTTGAGGGGATCTTTTTAATGACTTTGCTTGCTATGTGTTATTATCATGATATTATGATGATTATGTGTAATTCCATGTATTAGAATTGTTTGAACATTCTTTTAATTTTTTTTGGAAAGATTAGTCATTTTTCTGTCTTGAAATATTTGTTGTTTCTGTAAATATTCTCTTTGATGCATGATTTGAGTTCTAATCATTTGTTTAACCTTTTTATTACATAAATACACCAATATTAGTTAAAAATTCGTGATTGGACTTTGGTAGAGCATAAAAAGAAATTTTCACAAATTTTTAAGAGGATTTATTATTTTGAGATAGTTAGAACTATTTTTATGTTGTTTTTTTTATTTTAGAAAATTCTAAAAATTATGAAAAGTTTTATAGAAGATCAGTACATATGATCTTATTATTTTGGAGATTTTGGATATATTTTGAATTTAAATGTTATTTTGAATATATTTTTGAAGATTTTGAGTTAAAAGAGTTAAAAGAAAATGATTTAAAAAGAGGAAATAACTAAGAAATAAAACTTTGGACTCACAATCATTTTTGGAACCTCTAGAGTATGAGAAGCATATGAAGTTCATTAAGTTATTGAATTAAATTTGAAATATTAGACTTTTAAATAAGAAAATATCATGATTTGATTATAAATAGACTTCAAAAATTCAAAATAATTAATCACATGAGTGATAAGACTAAAAGAATATTTTTGACCATATTGAAACTTGGATAATGACTTAGAGACAAGGGAAAAGCATGTTGGACAACTTAAAAATCATCAAGTTTTAGTAAAAAAACCTTTTTGCAAATAAACTAAAGTTTAGAGACTAAACTACAATTTTTACAAATTACAACAACTATTTTGCAAAAATTTTATAGAAGTATTTTATTTAGATACCATACTATATTAGAAGTAATTTTTCATTAAATTCACTAAAATTTAATTTAAATTGAATTAATTATGATTTTTAACTAAGCTATTGATAGATAAAAGAAACTATATGACCTACAGAGGAAAAATTTGTCACGTGCAAGGCTCTGTAAGTGTTTAAATTTTTATTGAAAGATAGACAAGCGAAACATCCTCACCTGTTTCATCATTTTTGGACTTAAAATGAGTAAGATATAAATTTTATAACTCATTGTTAAGTGAAAAATAAAGTCCCGCGACTTGTAGAGGAAGTTTGTTTTCAGTAGAGTGACCTGAGAGTCATAGGTTTGATCAGGTTTTTTTCAGCTGAAAATATATGTACATAGGAGAAAAAATCTGCTGATTTCATCACATTTGAATTTAAAATGAATAAGTTATGATTTTTCTAAGAATATGTTACTAAAATAAAGTAACCTGTGACCTACCTACAGAAAATAGACTTCGAAATAGAATATATAAGGATGTGTTCTAGGAATGTATTTTTGTATGATAGTAGATACTTATAGGAATAGAACTTCATTGATTTCATAATTTTGGAGATGTTATGAAGTAGTTATGAATTTTTCAATTTGTTGGGTTCTCAAAATGGCATTATGTAAATAATAGAGAGAAACTAGGTTAAGTGTTACTTTCTATGAGAGAATGATTTATGTGTGAGTTCTTTTTGAAAATTAGATACTTAAAGAAAGAGAATCTCATCGATTTCATGATTTTTAAAGTTATAATGATTTAATTAAAATTTTTTCATTATTCTAGCACTAGGAATGATATTTTGGGAATTGTAAAGGAAAACTAAGTTTCGAAGACTCTCTATAAATGAATGATTTATGCTTGTATTTTTACATGAAAATAGACATGTAAATAAATAAAACTAAAATAATTTCATGATTTTTGTATTTGTATTGATTTAGTTATAAATTTTACAAGTTGATGTATGAAATCTAGAGAAATATGAAAATAACCATGTTCATAAAATGAATTGTTATCATGTTTTGAAGGATAAACGAGTACGATAAACACATATACAATGAATAAATTGATAGCTATAATTTGTGTTGTGATTATAAATTAATTCATAAGGATAGTGGTTAAAAATGTCAGGTAAAAGCGAGAGGTAAATAGTGTTGGTATGACTCTAAAGGATAACAAATATCCAAGTCCTACTAAGAGACCAAACCTAGGTAATTTGTGTCATAAGCAATGGGAAATATGTTAAACTATCATGATAGGCACTAAAATATACTAAGATGGTTAAGAGTGTGAACGACTAGAAGTGACAAATAATAGATTTCTCCACTATTACTTAGTTCTCTGTTTGGATGTTGTACCTATGACACTAAATAGATTGCGGGCACAAGACTCCTAATCATCAACCCAAAAATTAAATGAATAATTATTTACTCTATGAAAAAAAGAATAATACAGATGAAAATACTCTAAAATGCTTGTTTGAGTTATTAATATATAAGCAGATTATGTTTATCAAGCAATCAGTATAGCCTTATATCCCATTCTTAAGCAAACATGACTTTTATCAAGTAATCAGTTTAGTCATAATAATGCTTATCAAACTATTATCTTTACAGGTTGTGTGATACTAACTATTACCACCATTGACAACTCCCATATTACTCCCGTAATCATGCAGAGCTCTCTTAGGGTTGAGATCCCCTATTTCATGTATTGTACAGATGCTGATCCTCCTCCAAATGGGCTAAAGGACTAGATAAGAATGACCTGTTTGAAAAAAAAAAGGTATAAATAAATTTTGAATGCTTATGATCTTTTTACCTTACCTTTACTTTTCCTTTAGTTTATAATATACCTAAATAATTTAGGGAAGATAAGAGGTCTGTATCATATTTATTTTTTTTACTAATGAACAATAACCTATATGTATGTAAAATGTACATTAGGTGTGTGATATATGCCTTTATCCATCTATTTAGCAAATTAAATTTATTTTAGTTTCTAAATTTGATATAATAACATAATAATTGGGATAGAATTGTTAATAATAATAATGACATCTCAATAAGTAGTTGCTATGTTCATCAATCCAAACATCTAAAACATTAATATTACAAAAAAATTAGATAAGAATTAATTAAATTAGTCAATAATTAACTAAAATTGATTATGAATCTACATTAGTCAATAAGTTTTATTTTTTCCCTAAAAAATGATTTTTTTTCTTAGTTTTAAAAGTTTTATTGCTAAAATAATTTTAAAACACATAGACTTATATATATATATATATATATATATATAATTTAACTATTTATTATTAATTTTTTATTATGTAAAATATATAAAATGATCTTTTTTTAATTAATGAATTTTGGTAATTAGTATTTTAGGATATTTCTTAAAGATTTGAAAATGGTAAGTTTTTTATTTGAAATTGTGTTGAGATAAAATTATGGGAATCATATATTTATTATATTCAAATTCTCTTGTAACATCCTAATTTCAAAAATCCGTATAATGTATAAATTATTCTTAACTGTTTAAAATAAGACATATTTTGATGATTTCAATAAATTCATTATAGTAAATGACTAATTTTTTTTTTAGTTATGTATGTAAACGAAAATTTTAGAACTTACAATAATAATATAACCATAATAATAAACATGATGAAGAGTAAGTAAATATCACAATTGCATTGAGTATTCTTCATTTTAGGAAACTTGAATATAAATTACATACATTAACATTAAATTCTACAAACTGTTGGCCAAAATGAATGAAACTTACAACAATATACACATAACCATAATATTTACAATCCATAAAAATATACAAGTTCCAGCGCAGTGTTCGTCAAAATCAACTACTGAAGACCAGTCCTACTCATCCACTCCCTGTCAGCTCTCTATCTCAGCTAAGTCTTCTGAATCCAAATCCTCGTCTGATCCCAGATAGAGATCGCTTGAATAAGCTCTAACTTCTGTGCCAGTGACGCGCTCAAAGGTCCATTTGGGCGATCTTTCGAGAGAGTCATAGTTGTGGTAAGTGAATAGGTACGTGAGAGCTACTGGACTTCTAACAGTTCCTCTATACATATATACACATAAAGTCTGATGTATTCTACTCCTAGGGAAGTCAAAAGGAATACTACAAAAGAAATCTATCTCTATCATAACAAAAATCCTAGGTTTATCTTCTACCTGTACAACAAATTTAAAATGATTTACTCTTTGATATTTATTAAATACATAATTTAACCTAAAATATACAAAACTGTCTACTAGTCTAACTCTTTCATGAGGCTCCGTCATTCTGATTCCCTGAAATTATTAGTAAGGATGAGCATATATTCTATCCCTTTAAAAACATTATATGACAAAATCATAATTTATAATATAATTACAACATATCCATATTTACACTAATGTCACATGGTAACCACATTCAAATACACATCATTCACAATTTATTATCTATTATTCATTCTCTCATTCCAATACGCACTTCAATGGCCTGTGATCACAGATACTGATGCCTCCAGCACTTCTCAAGGTCTTACTCAACTAGGTAAATAATCGCCGGTTAGCCCATGCACACAGATACAACATGTACAATAATCAGGTCCCTTAGTAAAGGCATAGTCAGGAGTGTAGTCAAGAAACGAGTGTGAGGCCATGTGACGCATTCGCTCTCAGAAAGAGTGTATACAAATACTTGAATGTCGCTTATCACCCTATGTTTCCCCCAAATTCTCATCGTCTTTGGACTTTATACCCCAATGTATCTTTATAACTATTCACACTAGATCCAATTCAAATTCGACTCATAGAGTCATTCTCAGAATTATTCTCTTTCTCACTCATAAGATCGTGCTTAGTAAAGCACTTCCAGATTAAGTCCATTCTAATCCATTTCACACCCACATTCACTGGTACAATTTTAACCATAAACCTTCATATCATTTTCTTATATCATTTTACTCAATCATATTTCATAAAATCACACAAAAATACACAACAAGTTCCATATCACGTACTCATTATATAATGCAAGTAAGCATATATCAGCCATTTGATCCAGACAAGTAATCATTTTAAACAATCAAACAAACATATTTTTATTCATACTCCACACCACAGGTATCTCAATCATCTATTTGCATACAATATTCACATAACAATACTCTATAAGCACAAAATAAATACTTTAATAGAAAGATAAAATAGAGCTCTCCTTACCTCGAAGATGAGCTTACAAAGATATATTGAAAAGGTCAGGAGTCAACTATTGGAAGTTTTCCTGAACACCAAGAGATATCTCTAAGAAACAAGAACAGGAAAAATGATCGGAAAAACTCAAGTTTAATCCAAAGAAACTTACTTAAAATAACTTAGTTTTATCGTCCAAACGTGATTGTGAAGAGATATTAGAGTTTTTGGGGCTTTTATTTGAGTGAAAGTTCAGAGAAAACTTGAGAGAGGTACGTGAGTTTGAAATAGAATGAATTTCTCATGTAAAAAATCTCTTAAATACCCCTTAGCTCTGCGCGTTCTCGCTGGAGCAAGGGATGTCTCGCTTGAGTGAGGGATATCTCGCTTGATTGACGAGCATCTCGCCTGAGTGAGATATGCAAACAGTGGACTCGCCCACTATTTTCTGATATGCTCACTTGAGTTAGCTCCATCTCGCCTAAACGAGATGGTGTCTAGAGAGCATGTCATTTCTCTTGTTGGTCCTCGCTTGAGTGACCCATCTCGCTTGAGCGAGATAGCTTTGCAGCAAAGTCTTCTTGCACGCTCAATCTTGCCTGAGCGAAATCCACTACACCAAAATCATTTCAAAAATCCTCTATATTTTCTTCTAAATACACTTTAATGCCACTTAACATTAAATAAACATAAATTATCAAAAAGTGAAAAAAGGATGTTACATCTCTCATGTTATGGCAAGAAACTGAATATTTCAGAGTAATTTTGCTTTAGTAAATCTTAATTTGCTTAAACAAAAATAAATTAGATGGTAAATTAAAGTAAAATATTGTAAATTTACTCATGTTAATTAAATTTGCTTAAGTAAACTTTGGCCATTAACAATGGTGTTTTAGTTGTTTCAATGCACCCTCAAACCCAATTATATAAAAAGTAAAACTTTCATGGATAAAAATAAATTAAGTGAACTTTCATGGATTAAAAATAAATTAAGTGTCACATTTACGATTAAAGCTAAAAATAAAGTGTATTTCAAGTACTTTTTCCGTATCTTTCAAATTATGTTTTATCATTGTCGTGACATGTTTTCTCTCATCTAACATGATTTAAAAACAAAGAAAAGTGTTTCAAGTATAATTCTTTATTTTATTTATTTTTATTCTTGAATGTGATACTTCATTTATCTTTGATTTCTGGAAGATTTAATTTGATAATCTCAATACATATTTATTATGTTCTCCCATAACAAGAGATATCAAAATTCATAATTATTTTTTCTAAAAAAAAATTATTTTTGATTTCTTAACTAATAAAATACTTTTATTTATTGGTTTATTTATATACTATTATTATTTTATGATGTGAAATATATAACGACTTATTAATTAGTGCACTTAGGACATTGGTTAAAGAATTGGAAATGATAAGTTTTTTAATTTAAAATTTGATAAGACTGGATTAAAAATTATGAAGAGTCATATATATTTTACAAAAAAAAATTATTTTTAATTTCTTAACCAATACCTTCAAGATACTTTGTTAGCATTTTTCAATATTAATTTAAAGTCTACTTAACTTTTTTATAATTTTACACTAGTTTATTATTTAATTTAATATATAATATAAAATATTAATAATTACCACTTATCCAATCTCAATTTTATCATGGTTGAACCATACAACCTTATATTAGTGTTTTTACTAGAGTATTTATCGTTCAATTTAATTCAATTTTTATTAAAAACTCCAACATAAAAATAACATCAATTTTACTATAGATATTTTGTATTTTTAAATAATTTTTTCTAACATATATTTATTTTTATATAAAATTTGTTTTAATTTAGACTGATGAGGAACTTAATTAAAATGCATTGGTTGAAAAAAAGTCATTAATAAGAAAAAGTGTGAAATAACAATGCATTTGCTTATAAATAAAAAAAAATACTCATGTGAAAAGAGTAAAAATATAAAATAAATAAAAAGGATATATCTTATATTTATTTATAATTATGATAATATTATTGAAATATTATTTTTATATAAAAATATAATAAAATAATATAAATATATTACAAATATAGATATTTTTTAATAATATAAATTGAAAATATTAAAATTGAATTAAATTGCAATATAAACCATTTTTATATAGATTACATTATAATTTATATTGTATAAACATTTAATAAAGTTTTACATATAATACATGTGACTTTTTTTTCGATGTTTTGTATATTTTTAATTCTTTTAAAGTCTCTTATGACTATTCATTAATACCACATGACATATTTATTTATTTCATTCACTTAATTTAAATTACAAATTTTATTAATTAGTCCTTATAGCCGAGGATAATAAGATAATAATAGTAAAATTTTATTAAAAAAAAGTATTTATTATATTTTTATAATTTTAATACAATAATTATATGCTTTTTTCATAAAAAAATTTTATTTGTGGATTCTTAAACTCAACTCCAAGAGTTGAGGTTAACAAAACTCATAAATTATATATTTTATTTCTTTATCATTTGTATGGAATATTAAATATATGATAGTTTTTCTTTTTAAAAGAAAATAATTCTTACAATCGTATATTAAAAAGCTAGAGACTTTGGATTACCTTAGATAGGATAAGTAATATTGACAAAAAGCCTCAATAAAGTTGTTCACCATCATCATCTCATTCTCTTTTGCAATATATAAATGAGATTTGATACAAGATTTTTATAGAATCATCTTTTATAAGAGAGGAAAATTTTATAAATGTATGATATAATGAGATTTAATCAATGTGGATTTGATTTTTTTTTCAAACAAAAAGTGATAACACTTGATCCAACTCTTTAGTATTTCATCAATTTTATTATAATTGAGTCTTTATATGATTCAACATTTTTGAATTAGTCTTTATTTTAAAAATATTAGAACTATTATATGAGAATTAAAATATAAAAATAAAAACTCATATAAAGACTAAAATATAAATATTAACTAACAAGATTAATTTATAAATAAATATTAAACTATAAGACCAAATGTATATTCAAATTAAAAATTGTGAACTTGTTAAGAAAAAGTATTAAATAGAAAAATTATGAAAATTTTGGAAAAAAATAGAAAGTGTAATTTTATTTTTTAAAGATAGTAATTTTTTTTAAAAAAGTCTTTTTTAAATATTTTATAAAATTTGATGTACAATAAAAATTATAATTAAAATTTTAATACTAATACTTTATTATTTTTTAGTTACTTTTTTAATTACCTTTATTCATTTATTTGAATGTAAGATAGAAGACAAACATATAAAATAAAAAATACCAATTTAAGTTTTGTTAGTTGAATATTATTAATTTTGTATAAAAGTTTGCTTAAAGATATAAGTTTCTAGTCTCTTCAAATTTTGTGAAATTTTTATTCGGTATCTTGTTTATTTTTTAAAACAACTCCATAATTTATTTTTTATTATTTGTTAGAATATATACATAATTTATAGTTGTTACTTATTTATAAATTAATCTCTATAGTTAATATGTACTTTTTTAAGCATAAATTATTTTCATCTAATACTTCAACATGTTTCTAATGATAATAATTAATTTAAAAATGTTCTCTCCTAAAGACTAAATTGTAACTAAAGTACTTTTTATATATTTAATACTTTTACACATGGGATAACAAAAGTAACATGTAACAATTTTTTAATAAGGCATGTCATCACTAGGGATCAAAAGGATTGAATATTAAAAGGATAAGGGCTAAAACAGAAAAGAAAAAATTTTGAGACTAAAATGAAAATTTTATAAGAATATAGGCACTAGAAATATATTTAAATTTATAATTTTTAAATTTTACAGTATATAATTGAAATTTACATACCTGCATTCTGATGGATATATGATATGGTCTTGTTCAAATTCCCAAGCCAATATTTCTTAACGAATGTTATATAAACTGATCTTAACAATGGTGTGTTGACTTGATCCCTTGAAAAAGTCTTCATACTTGGAATGTTGCTTACTCTCACTTTTTGTAATTTAGGCCAATCAATAGTTCCACTCAGCTGGCAGAAACTAATTAACTTTGGAAGGTCTTTGAGTACAAGACACTCTACTTCAGGGAAAATGATGGATACATTTTCTTCTTTATCATTTGATAATATCTTTTCCATTTTCTCACAATTACACAATTTGAGTAATTTCAGCTTACTAAGGTTTTTTGTAGCAGAACATGAGAATAAACTCTTGAGGCTACCACAGTGGACAATGTTGAGTGACACCAAATTTGGGAAAAAGGGGACTTGAGGTTCCTTGTTCCAGATATATGTCAAACACTTTAAGTTACTCAATGTTAATGTCTTTAGTTGAGGAAGCATTTCCTTGATATTCTCATCTTGTTTGTCATCATCAAGGTAAAATACCTCAGCAAGTACCTCACATTTGTCCACAGTCAAATTTATTAGATTGCTGTATCTTGTGATCGTATGGAGAGAAATGGCTCTCAACAAATTATTGTCACTCAAAGTTAGATTTTCCAGTCCTAAAGTTTAGCATTTTTCAATAAAGTTCGAAACATGTTAATATAATGTCAAAAGAAAATTGTTGTCAACTAATAATTTAAATTAAGAACATTCAGAGGCATATTTCGGAAAGCAGATGTTATTATGTACAAACATGTATCACTAACTTTTATATTTTTATAAGTTTTGCATGTAATATTAAAATTTACATACCTGAATTCTGATGAATATATGATACGGTCTTGTTCAAATCCCCAAGCCAATATTTCTTAACAAATGTTATATAAACTGATCTTAACAATGGTGTGTTGACATGACCTCCTGAAAAAGTCTTCATATTTGGAATATTGCTCACCCTCACTGTTTGTAATTTAGGCCACTCAAAAGTCCCACTTTGCTGACAAAAACTCACTAACTCTGGAAGATTTTTGAGTACAAGGCATTCTACTTCAGGGAAAATGATAGATACACTTTCATTTTTATCAATTGATATTACCTCTTTTACTTTGTCACAATCACACAATTTGAGTAATTTGAGTTTTCTAAAATTTTTGGTAGAAGAAGGTGAGAATAAACTTTTGAGGCTCCCACAATTGACAATGTGAAGTGACATCAAATTGGAAAAAAATGGAACTTGAGGTTCCTTGTTCCATAGATATGTCAAACTCTTTAGGTTACTCAATGCTAATATACTCAGCTGAGGAACCATTTCTTGAATATTCTGATTTTGCTCGTCATCTTTAATGTCAAATACCTCTGTCATTAATTCGCATTTGTCCACAGTCATAAGTTTTAGATTGTCATATCTTTCGATCATGTTAGATTTAATGATATTCAACAATTTGTTGTTCTTCAGAGTCAAATTTTCCAATTTAGAAAATGATTTGGGGGGACAAGTGTAGTGCCAGAGTTTCTCAATTTCTTGGTTTATTATACACAGTATTTTCAGCTTGTCCAATGATAGCTACAAGGAACAAATGGTAATTATCAATGTCTAACAGTGAAGATGAAAATAAAACTACATAGGAAATATGAAATGAACTGTAATATACATATAATTGATTATGTAGCATAGTATAGTTATATCATTCAATTCCTTTCCGTCATAAACATGATGGCTTTGACTTTGATATAAAAGTGAGAATGACCGAAATACTAATATAAATATAAAAACTCTCATATTTAACTTACATTTAATGGAAAAAGATTTTAGCGTTACACTACAATAAGAAAATCTTTTTCATATATATATATATATATATATATATATATATATATATATATAATGAAAATGAATATTATATCTTAAATTTGGATCAACTTACATGATTTGGGAAGAAATAGTTTGAAACAGGAGGTTCTTCTAGATGATCCTTCCGCTCATTGGAGTCATCAAGAAAAGTGACGAGAGCAGGACAATTTGTGATTATCAATGTTTCCAAGGATGGAAAATGAGATGTATAAGGAAATACAGTTGTGAGCTTTGTTAGATTTTCAAGAGAAATATATTTCAACTGAGGAAATGAGGTCTTATTCTCTCCCATTTCTTTCTTGATGATGTGAGTCAAATTGGGTAGGTCAATTAAAGTCAATTCGGTTAGCTGCTGCAAACGCTCTGTAGAATATGATATTTCCTTTATGATGCGGAATATAATTTTCAATGAGTTACAATGACTTACAGTGAGTTTCGTCAATTTTGGAAACTCTTGTAACGTCATAGTGGAATTGACATAAACCAACTTGTGGCAAGTATCCAACTTGAGTTCATCTAACTCAGGGAAAGAATCAGGGTCTATTGGCAAATCATATGTAGTTGCAAGTCCATGGGTGAATATTTCCAATTTAGGACATTTTTCTATCACCAATGTTTTTAAAACTAGGAATTTTGATTTATAATTACCGAACTTGATTAATTCTGGGAGGTTCATAAGCTCCACCTTGCTCAATGCTAGGAACTCAACACGATTATAATCATGTTGAAAAATTTGTGTTAACTTCCCACATTCTTCAATCTTCAATTCATTCAGTCGGTGCCCTATTTCAACTGACTCAGGAAAGACTAGCATCAAGGAAGGGCAACGCTTGAAGTGTATCTTTCTCAAATTACTGATGTAAATGATTTCATCTCCATGCCATATTTCCACCATGTCAGGTAATTCCATTAATACCAATTCCTTCAACGAAAAGTATTGAAAAACGTTGGTGTCAATTAGAAATGGCTCTGTTCTGCAGTGTTCAATGGTTATATGCTCAAGCACTTCTGACCTCTCTACCAAGTAGCGAACAAATTGACACAAACGCTTTCCTTTGCTGCAATTTTTTGCTTTAAACATTGTAAGGGAACTGAGAAGCAAAGGTTTATGTTCATATAATTCTTCTGCTTTGCTTAATTCCTCATCTCCATCGATAGTTAAGTCATGTGTAGCATCCTATCATAATTTTCTTGCCTTAGTAAATCACTTCAAAAATAATTGAAACATAATGTTAAGGACTAACTAATTTCATCACCTAGCTATTGCAAAATGATTGTTTGCATCATTCAAGATAGTTGGTTTAATTCAGAATGCTAATAATATAATCTTTAGGGATTTAAAATTGATATTGACTTGACTTTGAAAAAAAATAATTGATGCTGATGCTTTTAGTTGTGTTGAAATTTTTAAGGATTTTTACGAAAGATAAATCCTTAATTTTGCCTGTAACTTAAGATTAATGAATTTTTTAACATTGAAATTGTGAGGTATTATTGTTGTTCTATCAATTGCATAGGCGAAAAGATTTCCTAAAGTATTAGTGGAATCAAATTCTAAGTTTGAAGAATTTCCCATTACTCATCCTTGATTTGCTCCTATTATAAGTATCATTGATAGTTTTAGGAAAAGAAAAACTCATTATTTCTCATAGCTATTGGGAGGAAAATAAAGTGACAAATTGGATTATGACTCTCATTATTAACTTAGTTTTGGTTGTAATTTGTATTAGAATCTTTCTATTAGCTATAATCTTATTTTTGGAGATTTGGTAGATAATTACTTTTAAAGACTTCTTGGTTGTTAGTATTTTTTTCGTAGTTATATTGTCATTTTCATTAAAAATTAATATATTTATTAGTTTGATGTGTTTAATTGCTACAATTTTATCTTATTTTGTCATAAATCTTTTTTATATAAAATAAATTAAAGACTCTTTGAAATTATGATTTCTTTAAAATCACATGTAATTATTTGAAACAACCTTGATCTATCAATAAAAATGTAGCATTAAATAAATGTTGCATAATATAAAAAACAAACAAACAATTTTACTAAATAAATCTGCTTCATCCATTTAGTTTTATGGATAATCCTAACCATATATTAGTTAGTATCATATACATATACTTATTAATAATACATATATAATGGTAGCAATATTATGTATTTTAACTATACATATTTAGCAGTGGCAATGTTATTTGTATAAAATATTTTCTATTTTAAAAGTGTAGCAACCTATTATGATTGAAACTAAAAATATAAATAAATGATTAATAAAGTTTGACTATTCTGCTTTCAATATTAGTATCAGATTATTTATTGGATAAATTCGGTTTTAAAAATATTTTATGAATGTTTAGGAGAGATATTATGTTGTTTCTACAATTCTAAAGTTGAGATGAAATTAAAAATGGAAATAAATATAATAAAATATAAATATGCAGTGTAAATTTTAAAAAAAGCAAACTAGTTAGATTTTTGAGAGAGATCAAACCAATAAAAGAAAAAATCGACGAATTTGGAGATGATCGTGAATTTGCTCTTGATTGTCTATAACCATTGACTTCAACTTTGACCTTTCTATCCTTCCCAAACCCATATGTGACACTTTGGGACAGTGGTTCAGAATTACATTCTCCAAAGATGACCATTCAGGATAGCCTGAGCCGCTAAGGAGAAACCGAAGAAATGATGGCAACTCTTGAAGATGCATTTTGGCCATTTCAGGAAATTCAATTACTGCTGGATCGATAACTATAAGTCGTCAAATTTCTCTCAATTATTCGGCATAAAAGAATAAATAGATAAATAAAACAAATTAATATTTAAAGAGTAATAATAATAAACATTTCTTTTATAGTGCAAAAATAAAAATATTTTTTTATTGTTCTTACATTTTTCCTTCCTAAATCGATATATTTTTATAAAAAAATAAAATAAAAATAAGATAACATTTTTTTAACTAAAAGTAAAATTTTAAAAATAAATTTTCAAACCAAATTGATTCTCATGTTTTTGAAAATATGATTCCAATATAATAATTTACCTTCATATGTCCCTGCATGACATACACACTCCAATTTTGGTAGTCGAAGTAGTGTTAAACAAATTAATTGGATACGGCCTGGAATATCCTCGTCCAAAAAGTAAAAAACGTTGGACAGATTCTGACAATCTTCAATGTATATGTTCTTTAGCTTCCAAAATGAATGTTGAGCATTGTGTGGATAAAACCATATGTGTCTTACACTAATATTGGAAATCACCATTCTCTCCAAATTAGGAAAAGAAATCTGCATATATACACACAATAATATATTATCACATTAATAAACATAATTAGAAAACGAAATTATTTAGCTTTCATACAATTATTTCTCACTTAATTGATACAAAATTTCTTTGCTTTGGCTTATTTTATTTGGTTTTTGTTAATTCTATGTACAAGGATTATGGCTTTGGAATTGTAATGAAAGGCAAAACAGTATAAGCAAAATTAGTAATTTGTAATACTTTAATGCATTAACATTGGACTTCAAATATATACATACCATCTCATCAAAAAGTCCGGGTTTATAGTAATAAGAGTGCATATAGAAACATGATAATGCAGGGAGTCGTTGTAACGTTAGAGAGCGTAATTGAGGAAACACTATTCTCTCTTTTCCTCCAACCACAATTGCCTCAATGAGTTTGCACTCTGAAACTTCTAAATCAACAAGATGAGGAAGACCTTCGATCATTGACTTTATGAAGAGACATTTTATATTATGGCATTGTTGTACTTTGATGACTTTTATTTTCAAGAATGATTTTTCATTTAGAGGACCGGCGCATATAACCTCCAAATTGCTTACATTTTTTAGAGACAAAGACTCCAAGTTGGAGAAAGCACCACTGTGATGATCATCACTAGAACTCACGGCTATGCATTTGATTTCAACATTGTTTTGTACAAAGAGCGATTGTAGATGGGGAAACTCATCCAAATCACTCAGAACATCTTGGACACCACCATTCAGTTCATCTAAGTATAAGACATCAACATTTTTCACCATCCTTTCAATCCCATCCTCCAATTGCAAATGTTGGTTGAGCTTGACTTTCAATACTTTTAACCCATGATCACCATTATGGGTCTCAGTCCACCTATCCCCAATGAAAATCGTGTACGATTTCATTTTTTCAAAGTACAGGTCCATTGGCCATGCTTCAGGATCAGGAACATACAAGTCTTCTATATGTGCCAAGCGATGCAAGTTTGTTAGCTCTTTCAGGCTTGCATTTCTGTTTTCACTGTTGGATCTTTCAACCTCCCAATTGCAAAAGGAGTTTCTCAAATATAATTCTTCTAAACTAGTTAAGTTTGACAGAACATTGGATGGAATCACTTGGAGATATGTGTCTCTTAAATCCAATATTAGCAACTTCTGAAGCTGTCCAATTTCTCTAGGGAATTGTTGGATTCTACTTCCGAGGAGGACAAGAATTTGTAGGTTTGTGAGCTCACCAACTATAGTTATGTCTCCCAATTCGCAATTATACATGGATAATGCTTGAAGGTTCTTTAACAAACCAAAACTAGAAGGTAATTTTGAACAGTCAAAGCCAATAAGTTCTAATAATTTCAAAAGTTTAGTCTCATCAAAAAATGAATTTGGAACCTGCATTGAGGGATTGTCAGTGCTTAGTATAATCTCTTGCATTTCTGGACATTGCAACCTTTCACGAACCTGTACACCACTCACAGTACTCATGTTACAGAAGCGTAAACTTCTCAACCATTCTTCAGGTGGCCATTCTGCAGAAATCATTGAAGCTTTTAGATCACTTTGAGCTATTGAATAAAGAGTGTGCCATATCAAGTCATTTATTTTGATAGTTTCCTTTTCATCTTCAACCAGAAGACCATAGGCCTTGAGATCACTGATTAATGAATCACACCTACTTCTTGCAGCTTCGAATGTATCAAGATTTTTGAATATGCTTGCCAACATGTCTACATATATACTATACTTGTTCACAACTCTCCTTCCCCTGATGGTAAGAATCAAGAGCAAGAATTTGTGTTCTTCACTCTCTAAACTATTGTAACATAGTCTTATTGGTGCAACATGTTCCTTTAGCTGCATCAAGGCATCTTGCAAAGCATGCAGGTCTTTCTTTTCTAATACCTTGGCTATAGCAAAAAGTGCAGGAGCTAAACCTTCACAACTTTTCACTATTTCAGTTATTATGGAACTTGCCTCAGAATCTTGAGCAATGCCTCCAACCATCTTTTCAAACAAGCCCTGGGCCTCTTCTTCTAGCAGCACTTCTAGTTGAAACACCTTAGCCTTAGGAGCACCCATCAAATTTTTTATGAAATCCAAACTTTTTGATATTAGCAATAATTTACACCCCTTATGTTCATCACCCAAAGGAACTCCAATTTCGTCCAAATCAAATTCTTGAGGATTCAATTCTCCCCACTTATCATTAATGATGATAAGAATCCTTTCCTCTTTCTTTATTCTAGGACGCAATCTACTTCTTCTTTTCACATGCATTTCGCCATTAAATTGGAGACCCAATATAGCTTCAATATCTTCTTGAACTTGTTCAACACTTGGCTTCTCAGCTACATCAATGATAACCACTTTGAACAAGTTCTGTTCTTCTTTTGCTTGCTCTCCAACCTGTTTGGCTAATAAGGTTGTGCCTCCACCACCTATCCACCATACTCCAACTGTTTGGATAAGAGGGTCCTTCAGGGCCTCCATAATATCATTTATAGTATCTGCTCTTGATTTTGGTGGTTTCACTAATAGATAAAGATTACCTTCTTCTTGTAATCGGAACATTTCTTGCATCATCTTTCTTGCTTGCTTATTAACATTGTACCGCCATAGGAAATTTGTGCAAGAACTTTTTCCTTCATAGTAGTTCACAAATATATTCACTTGTCCAAAAAATTCATCAATTTTTTTTAACCACTTATTTTTAGCCTGGAATTCCAAACTTTTTTGCTGCAGATTCTGAGGATTTTCTTCATAGTAGTTCTCAGAATCCCAAGTAAGATTTTCTTGCACCCTTTGTCTTTTTTGCTGCAGATTTTTAACTTCGTTACTGAGATTCTCCAAAATGCTTTTGTAGGAAATCAAGTAACCCAACTGAGGTGCAACAGTTACTACTTTCATGTTTTAAAAAATGTGCAAATTGATCTTCCTTCCCCTTTGTCTACTATCACTACAAAAAGAAAAATATCATTTTAAAATTAGATTCTACTAATATAGATTTATTCTAACAAAAGTAGAATTGTTAGTATAAATACTTTAATTTTGTACCAATACATAATTATACTAACATATAATTATTAATATAAATATTAATATATACCATTAATATTTAAATATTGATATGTTGCATCGTTTATAATGTGCACTTTTAAAATCTTTATTAATAACTTATTTTTTTAGACAAAGATTATGAGTGCATTAGAAAAGTTTTTCGACTTATTGAAAGCTGATTATACTAGTTTAGAAGTAGGTTTAATCAAACAATTTTGTTTTATAAGATAATTGAAATAGGTGTTACTAGTGTTCTTAAACACTACTTTTCCGTTATTAGTTCAAAATAGTTTATTTTAGTTCCTATTATTTTCAAAAATTCTCTCTCTCTTCTCTTTTTTTTTTTTTTTTTTACTTATTTGATATTTCTAAAATCTAATAATACCTTTATCTCTTTTACGTTCAACTTTTTAAACCACTTTTGTTATTAAATCTTATTAAAATTTAACAAAATTATTAATTCTTATTTTCTATAGTATAAAATTATCAAAATATAATATAAATTATTTTATATTATCTCATTTTAAAATATTTTAAAATTATGTTATTTAAAATATATAATTATCAAATTTCAAATTGTGGGCTAAAATTTAATGATGTCATTTTTTTCATCATTTTTAAAATTAATAGCTAATTTTATCATATGTTTTAATTAAATCAACTAGTTTTTCATCTTTTAGCTGTTAATTAACTTATCCACTAGTTTTATCAAACACACCTTATGTTAACAAAATTAATATTTGAAATTATTTTAGTTTTTAGTAAGTGAAATTTAAAAAAAAAAAATAGCTTGGCTAGTTATAAAAAATATGAGAAAATTGTGTTAGATAAAAAGTAAAAAGATTGTATCACAAAATTTATTTTGACTAAGCATTTCAAAATAAGAGAAAATTTGAAGTAAATGGCTCACGCTTTTGAGTTTAGATCCTTCGAAGTAGAATGATAAAATATTTGATAAAGTAACAAATTTATTAATCTATATAACATTTAAAACATCTATATTATATAAGTTATTTTCATAGTTATATGAATTTTTATGAAAAAATATTTGTAGATTACTAAAAGTTAAAATAAAAAATAATTATATTATTTTACTCATACAATAATTTAGTTTTCTATTAAAATATAAATATTTTATTTAACTATTTTTTCATTATTTATTTAAAAAAGTTATAGTTATTTTTAGATTTTATTTTTATTTTTATTTTAATACTTATGTTTATAACGTTTCAATATCATCTAGGAGTAGTGATTTTATAATATTACTTTCTTATATATTTTATATTTTTATAATATTAATCAATTAGTTTCTTTTACAATTTTTATTTTAGAATTATTTACAATTTCATATATTTTTTAGTTTTTATATATTGAACATAAAGCATTATTTTACTTATAGTAATTTAAGATTTAAGATTTAGAGTTTACTATTACAATAATCATAAATAATTGTCAAATAATAAAATGGAACGGTAAATAAAATTAGTTTAATTTAAATGTACTAATTATATAAAAAATTCACACTATTATTAAATCATGAATTGTCGTGTCAACAAAAATTATTGATTTCTGTAAAAACTAACATAAGAATTGTGTAAAATAAAACAAAACAAAAACAAAAACCTAATTCAAAACATTGTATAATTTGTCAATGCATACTTAAGTCCTAAATAATTTGGCTATAACAAAATCAACTTTTCTAAATAATTTTCTTATAAAAAAATTATGTTAAACTTAAAGCTACAAGTAATAGTGCTTAAACACAAGAAAAAAAATAGTACTAATGAAATATAAAAATGTTTAACAACAAATATCATTCACTGTAATTTTGTTAATTTAGGTCTTCGTCCCAAAAAAGTAACTTTATAGGCTATATTTTATTTCCTTAATTTTTATTTATTTATATTCAAATCACTAAAAATTACATAAATAATTGTTATTTTTACAAATAAATTCTCTTTCTATAGCTTAACTTATTATGATTGTTTCCATCAAATGATTATGTTTTTTAATTGAGCAATATCTAAGAAAATAGTTATATTTATGTAATTATTATAAATAATTTTGAAGTGTTAAATGTGATTTTTTTAGGTATTTCATTATAAGTTGAGAAATTCATATTTTTTATAAAGTCAAAATTTATTGATATCAAGTGTCAAATTTGCACACTTACACTTCTTATTAATTTTTTATAAAATACAATATGAATAAATCCAACTGTTAAATTATCCTTATAATATATATATATCAATTTTACATAATTTGGACATTATGTGTTAAAGATAAAAACTTTCAAACTAATAGTTGAATTCATTAAATTCACATTCTAAGAAAAATTATTAAATAATATAAGTATTCAAGCTTTACATGTGGGGTTAATAGATTTGACTTTTTCATATTAATATAATTATTGGTAATTTTGATTAAGTTCTGCCAAGATGCTGAAGGAATAGAGTAAAAGTTAATCCACTTAATTCAAATTGAAGAAAGTAATATTTAAAAACTTTTTTAATTAAATTATTTAAGCTAAATTATTTTTTATCCTTATAAAATTAACACATTTTGCTATCCTTATAAATTTCTTTTTAGAATTTAGTCCCTAAAATGTTAAGAAGTTAGGATTTAGTCTTTGTGGTCAGTATTTTTGCATGTCACATTATTTATGTTTATTATATTTTTTTATTTAAAATATATATTTACAAACAAGTCCCTTAATATATTTTAAAATTTTCAAAAAAAGTCTCCCTCTTCTTCTCATTCCCCTTCCTATAACCCCACCTCTCTCACTCTCTCCCCAATAAGAGTTAGCTTCAATAAACATAAAGACTTGGGCAAAATTGTAAGGCTCCAAATTTTATATTATCGATTATTGATATATATATATATATATATATGTATATATATCTGTGTGTGTGTATGTGTGTGTGTGCGCGTGTGTGTATCAATGTAAATAAATGTTGAAATTTGTACTTGAGTGCGTGATGATAATATTTATGTGTATAAATGTGCATGAATGTATTCATATATGATTGGACTGAAAAACAAGTTAAGGATGTAAATGTTGGGGTGTTCTTGGGGAGGAAGGGACGAAACTGTTGCTTTCTCGCTATAGCGAGAGATGTCTCGCTGTAGCGACAGAACAACAGTTTGAGATGCATTTTTAGGTGCAGATTCACTGTAGCGAAAGAGTATAACTGTAGCGAGATTCTATAGAAACCAGGGTGCAATTTTTCCTGAGATTTTTGCTGTAGCGACAAGAAGCGTTGCTGCAGCGAGAGTGTCACGATCAGAAGGGAATTTAAGGGGTTTAGGGTTTGAAAAATTTATTTCTCATCCCTCTCTTCAAAATCTCTTTGATTCTCTTGACCCAAAACTCTATTCCACCGATTAAATTGCCTCCAAAGCCGTGTGAGCATGCCAATATGGGGTTGACATACTCTTGATTGAGAATGTGAGTGAATGTATATGAGCATGCCAATGGTTGAATAACGCAAATGGTTAGAAATGGGTGTAGATGACATATTGAATGTAAATGTGAATGTTGTCGAAAATGAATATATTCCTATGTGCTGTGTAATGTAAGTGAATATGGCTGTGTGCCGTGTGTTGTAAATAAATGTGGACAATGTGTGCCGTTTGCAAATACGAATATTGTATGTAATTGAAAATATGTGTGAATAGAGTGTGTTGGACGCCGTTGTAATGATGCTATGAATGGTTCAGCGATACACTGGAGGTGTGGAAGATGGGGATGGTAGAAATACCTTGGGGAAGGGAGAGTGGTGGTAACACCAACAGTGAGCGTGAGTGCACCGCGGGCTGCACTCTCTTTCTGACTAGACCTCTGATCATTATCTTTACCGAACGACTCGTAACTGCTCATGTGGTATTCGTGAAGCGAGGGTAACCGACAACCATCAATGGTGTGAATCTGTGATCACAGTGCCACAGTGAGCGTGACTTCGTATAGTGAGCGCACGGGTGTGTAAACTGTTTTGGTGCCGTGAGTGCATCGTATTGAATTGAGATGAAATGTGTGAGAATGCTGCCTTTGATTATATTGTGTGAAATGTATTAGAAATGACGTGAAGTATGTGCAAGGTGAGACTCTATGTTTGATTGCGTGTTGGATAGTGTAGAGTACTCATCCTTATATTCATTTTTCAGGTAATCAAGACGATTAACACCGGACTCAGTGAAGGGGTGGATGGAACTGCTATAGAGCTTAGGATATTAATTTGAAACCGTTGTTAGGAATTAGTCCTTTATTTTGAAACATTTTGATGAAACCATGTGCTGAAAATGGTATGTAAAAGGAAAATTTTATTATTCCTATTTTGCAAAATTCATTATTTTGAAATTAAATTTAAGGTGTTACAAAAATTAAAGAGAGGTCACACAGAACAACACAATAAAAAGACACACTATAACCACAAAACTAAAACCCCTTCACCATCTTCTTCTTCATTAAGCTCAATTAACTATGCAAAGAATCCATTAGAGAAGAAGAAAACTTGTGGTTCTCGATCTTTTTGTTGAGGGGTTAAGGTTACATAGTGGGGTTTGTAACATCCTAATTCTCAGTACCCGTGATCTGCTGAATTTTGACAGAATCTTTGTCAAGAAAAAAAAATTAAATTATTAGGAATTAGTTAATGTGACTTTAGAGTTTTATATTCATTAGATAATTTGTAATTTTCTAGAATTTTTCTGGAATTTTTAGGAAATACTTAAAATTGACCTATCTTCTACAAGTTTCCCATAAGTTTTTTTTCATTTCTCTCTCAAATACACTACTCACCTTCAAGCTTGATTTTGAGGGCCAAAACTTGATCTTTTTGAAAAGCTTC